CTTTAAAAAATCTTTTGATGAACAATCCACGATTGTCCCGCATCAAATGGCGTACCTTGATCTAATCTAACTCAGGGAAGAAAAGCGAATTTACTATAAGGTAGCAGATTAAGAACATCACTTGCAGATTAACTAGTAAATGACAGTACTACATTGATAATGCAAGATGAAGATGTGTGAAAACACATAAATATAGCATTTATAAATATTTACAAGGATCACATACAAGTTCTCGCATGCCGTATCTTTTTGTTCTTTTCTAATGCGCGATGAGGATGATGTACTTTACATTAGGATCTGGAGAACAGGCTCTGTTTCAACAGGACCACAAAGTAAAAACCTGGCCCAACACCTGCATGGTTGATAGAAATGAGCACATGAAGAAGTAATTCCTCCACGCTATATATAATTAATTGTGATAGCTAAAAGCATGACATCCTTCCTCTAGTTAAAAAAAAAAAAAGGTTCTATATATTCTCATGATATTTTGTTCAAAACACACGTCTTGAATTAATGACCTCTTATGTGACAGGCCACCCTTCTTCCCAATTAAATTCTTCCGTTTCTCCGTGATGCAGCAGCTCATTCTAAAATTTATGTAGTTCGAAAAATCAAACGAGGGCATAATTAAGCGCGCAAGAATGAAGTGAACCTCGTCACTTCATATATTCTCGTGTAATATTAGCCTCTGGAAGCTTCAGCTGGTGGTCCAGCGACCCTCTCTCAAACGAAGGCCAATAATCCAAGCAATGGTAGCGATTGGCATTATGGCTGGGGACAACGAAATATTCCAAAAACCAAAGCCAAGTTGAGATCGAGCGCAGAGCTTTGGGCGGCTCCCCCATCTCCAATTATTGAGATCCTGACCTCATCCCAGATATTCATTCACGGATGTGGGTGGCCCCAAAGTGTTGAAGCAGAAAGATCCGCACGTACCTTACTTGCGCACGCATCGCTCTAGGCTATCGGTACGGTCAGACCGCCTATCGCTGTAGTTGCTAATAACTACGCACAGTCGTTAACATTACTGATGATAGCACCAATATCCAACAGTGATAATCGCACCGAGATTCATGCTAATGGGTGATCTCTTCATAATTTCCTCATGAGTTACAATGATCTTCATCTCTAGACCTTTTCTCTGCGGTGACAAATGATCGTTCCCTTAAAGGTATTAGTGAACTCTCAAGTTGCTTGATTTTTAATGTGGTCATTTTGTTAGTCTACAGTCAAATACTTAACAAATTAATGACGTTATAGTTTTTTATTTCTTCATAGGTTTTTAGCGGCTCATCTTCTTCTCCCCAAACCAAAAAAAACCATTTTCTAGACTAATTTATCCTTCTTCTTTTTTACTATTTAGCCCTTTTATGATTAAAAAAACACTTTTTAGATTGCGGAGAAATGTAAAAAATATTAGGAAAAATTGCGTCTAGGCCCCAAAATATAAAAGGGGATGTGACTAGGCCCCCCTTATTATTATTTTTTTTTTTTTTGGTGACTAAGCCCCCAATACAACATCCACTTGTGTTTCAACCCCTATTTAGCTTTCCAACACAACACAGTGATAAAAATTTGTTCAAAACCCAAAACTGTCATTAACCCATTTCGTTTCTTCTTCTTTCTTCTTCTTCACTTCTTTAGCCTCTTAGTTTTGAGGCTTTTCCTTTGTTTCTTTATTTCTTCTTCTTCACTTCTTTAGCCTCCCTCCGCCACCCTCCGGCGCCTCCCTCACATCTTCAGCAAGGTCCTCGAGCTCCCGTTCCCCTCCAACGCCGACGTGGAGGTTGACGAGGGCCCCCACCGCGTTCAAATTCACCGCCGCCGTCATCGATGATCTCGGGGGGCCCACGCGATTGAAATCTACCCGGGGATTTTGAAGGTGGTGGTTAGGAATGAGAGCGGGGACCGCCGCGGGGAGGAGGAGGAGGAGATGGAGATGGACAGGTGGCGCTTTTGGTTGCCGAGTGGGGCTTCGCCGAGATTGGCGACGGCGAAGCGTGTTGGCAGGGAGTTGGTTGTGATTGTGCCGAAGGGGGCCAAGGATGAGGATGAGGATGAAGAGGGAAGAGAGGAGTTTGGTATTTGTCAGCTGGTTCTTGTACAATGATAGTTCGTTTCTGTTGATTGTTATTGTACGTTTGATGCTCTAGGTTGATGAATCAATGATCAATGTTTACGAATTCAAAATCATGGTTTACTCTTTTCTTTCGAAAATTCAAATAAGTTGCAACTTGTTCCGATATATTTCTTATTTATTTTGACACCTAAAGCATTGCTATGTTATAGGAAGGAAGAAGGAGGTGAAAAGGCCTGATGTGTAGTTGCTTAATCATGTGGTAGTTCACTGGAGTTTCATGAACTATTTATTTTGATATTGCACCAATTTGATGGTTCATAGTTGTGGTTGTAGATTGGTTGCTTATTATGTGTGAAAGCTTATGTTTACGATTGAAGAAACCAGTGAATGGTTATCAAGGGTCTAACCATATGCTTGTTGCGGGTATGGTTCAGCTCATTTAAAGTTGTGTTTGCCATTTTTATGTGCTGATAGCTTGCTTGTGTGTTTGTGTTTAGTTTCTAGTATATTCGGCCCGCAATTTATGTGAATGGTTAAAGAACTACTATGATATTCATATGAACTGGACTTTGCTATTATGGTGTTCATATATAGGCTTCTGGAACTTCAATTGTATCATTATCGTCAGTGTCTATAGTTTTCATGAACTTGTGTCTTGTTTTGCCAGCCTGTTATACTCAGCTGATCCTTGCACTTTTCATGAACTTGTGTCTTGTTTTGCCAGCCTGTTATACTCAGCTGATCCTTGCACTCAAAACCTTTGATGTTTGAATGATATACACATGCACGAAGTACATTTGCACATCTATAGGGAGTGAGGGAATTTATGTACGCAATATTTGTACACACGCACATGCATGCATGCCCGTGCATAGAGAGACATACATGCATGTGTATATATAGTTTCTATTGTTGTCTCATTTCCTAGTTCCCTTTGATGGCTAACTGATTTCTTCTTTCCTACTGCACACGCATGAATCTTTTGTAGCCACCATATATTTCACCGAAATTCTTTGGCTCAACATAGTTTTGTGCTTGTGGATGGTGGTTTATTAATAACTTGTATGCCATGTTGGTTTGTAATTTCTCTAATAATTCTCAAATGTTACTACAGTAAAGATGTGAGCTTGTGATGTCAACCTCTATGAGAGAAGAACTCACTGGTTTGAGGAGAAGCTTGAATTTGAAGGATAAATTGATTGAAAAGTACTATGACATTGAGATGTCATGAGGTAATTTCTAAACTCAAACAAGAGTTTAAGTTGAATAAACAAAGGAAATGAAGCTTGTTATTGCTTGGATGAGGTTGTGAAAATGATAAGAGAATAAATGAATTTGATGGGTGAGCTTGCAGAAGAAAAGAGGAAGAAGATGTTAATTTTTATAATAGGATTGTTTGTACTCTTTACTCTTGTATAGTTTCTCCAGAATTGCTTATAACATGTCATGTTTTATTGTTCAGTTGATTATACTACATGTTCTTGTGGTTTAGCTTTACTTAGATCAAAAATTAATAAAATATAGTGTGTCTATTTAGTGATCAATTTTGGTGTAATTTATTATAATTGTATGTGAAATGTATTGTGGCTATCCTGTGAATATGTACAAGTTCATTCAAATAGAACAATTTGGATGGAAAGAGTATGTTTTGCACAGATCTAATTTCTAGATTAGAGACTCACTAAGGTTACAATTTTTCTTATAAGCAAGTATGTTTGAGGGAACTACTTACGAAATCTCAAATACAAAGGAAAAATATTGCAAGTGATTTGTTATTGTGATCCTAAACATACTTAAAATCACAATGCTGGAGGATCAACAATTTGGTGTGTACTCAATCATGTGTGAGAAATTGATTCATGGCATAAGAAGTATGAAGCTTGTTAACTTTCAGGTGTATATGTTAACAATATAAAATGAGCTTGATTCATGGCATAAGAAGTATGAAGCTTGTTAACTTTCAGGTGTATATGTTAACAATATAAAATGAGCATGTTAACTCTCTATATGTTGGCTAAAAATGTTGGCTTTAACATGAACATGTTAGCTTTTATGTGAGCATGTTAACTTTCATCTGTATATGTAAACTTTTAAGTGTATATGTTAACATTCACGTGAACATGTTAACTATCAGTTGTATATGTTAACTTTCATCTGTATATATTAACTTTCTTATGAACATGTTAACTTTCAGCATAGTATGTTAACTTTCAGGATAGTATGTTAGTTTTCTTATGAAGATTGTTTGATAGGATGAATGACATGAACTTGATTTTAAAACCCAATTTAATTGGATCTCGCAAGTTTGTTTGTCTTTCATCGAAGTTGTAATATGTGAATTTGTAAGAATATCCATATTGTGTACTCAAGCAATATCACCTGAAAGAAGTTTTAAAAGCAGCTTATCTTTTTTTGTTTTTTCGACTATGTTATCTTTCAGCTGAATAAATTATCTTTCACATGAACATGTTAACTTTCTTCATCACGTGTTAACTTTAATCTGAAGATGTTAACTTTCATCCTAATATGTTAACTTTAATTATTACATGTTAACTTTTATCATTATATGTTAACTCTCCTCGTAACATGTTAATCCAAAATTAAAATAACATACAAAAATGGAAACAAACATATGCCTCATTGTACCAACAGACGTGTATTAGAATCGACGCATTGAAACTTCAAGAATAAGAAAAAAACCCACTAAAGTAAAACTTGCTACAACTTCTCATGATATCTTAAACATATGTAAATCGTTCAAGCCCACAATTATGGGTCATTCTTCTACTCAGTTTCGAGTACAACCACAAAAAAATAACTAACAAATCATAAGTTCTCACAAGTTCAGATATGTTTTCTTAAACAAATATCTTATAAAAAACACTCCAATCTCCATGTAAATCTATAAATTTTAGTATACATGCAATCTTTAGAAAGAAGTTGAGCTTGATCTTCGCAGTTGATGCTTTGGTTCTGGTGGCGGCGCAGAATGTAATATTGTTCTCTTCTTCAAGTCGTGAGACCTTGATCTCCAGTTTATTGGTGTATGTCTATCCATTACAAAAACAAACTTCTCTCAAAACACAACACATTCATAAGATGAGAAAAAGTAATCATTCTGAGAAAAAGTTAGCATGTTAATAAGATGAGAAAAAGTAATCATTCTGAGAAAAAGTTAGCATGTTATGAAGAAAGTTAACATATTATTATGAAAGTTAACATATAACAGTGTGAGAAAAAGTTAGCATGTTATGAAGAAAGTTAACATATTATTATGAAAGTTAACATATAACAGTAAAAGTTAACATATTATGATGAACGTTAACATGTTTAGCTGGAAAGTTAACATGTTACAAGGAGAGTTAACATATAATGATAAAAGTTAATATGTACCAGTTAAAGTTAACATAGGATACATGTCATGTTCTTATTGATCATGTTCTTGCTGATCATGAGATTTGACAGACATTCTATGTTCTCATGAGATTTAACATTAATCAAAATTTCACTTATGTTGTCACAAATAAGAGACAACTAAACCGTATGGTTAGATAAATAGCACAATTATCAGCTGGAGCTTTTAGATGTTATAAATGTTGTAGCACTGGATTCACAAAGGTAACGCCAGCTGATAAAAAACTTGGTAAAATAAAAATTCTAAGCCATTGCAAAACACAATCTTACAGTTAAGAACACACCCAAAAGAGAAAATTAGTAGCAAATTCTCAAAGTAACAAATAGTCATAGCAAAACAAATGATTCTTTCTTCTCATATATAATGAACAACGAAGAGATGGTGGTTAATTCCTTAGAGGGCTGTGGTCCTGGGGACATAGACTTACATTGGTCATATCACAGAGTCTCAAGACTCCCAAATAAAATTTCACATGTTTATGTGTAATACTAATCTTATTACTTCAGTGAAGCAAAATGACAAACTGGTGTACAGGGCACAAAAGAGCCACAAGAATCAATTACACATATATAATCATAGGAAAGTAGGTTACGACATGAACCTCCACCTATAAAACCACTCAAAGGAAAATAAAATTCAAGAACTGAAATAATTAATCACTCACCTGATCACCATGTTCAACGTTAATACACTCCCCCTTTGCCCACTTAATTTGCCTCCAAATCTCTAATGCATTGAACTGAAACTCCTCCCTGATAGCCAAAAAACAAACTGAATACAGTAAGTTTCCATCTCTCCCCGGCACTTTGGTCACCACTCCCTTCCACCAGACTCCGTTGTAGAATGCCTCGATGCACTGGTGGAGCTCGAAATCAGTAGCGAGATTCGTCGGTGGAGGCCACGGCCGTATCATAGTGTGAATGGTCTTCTCCTCGAGAGGCTTGAGGGGTATGGGATGTTCAGCGATGAGAGTAGAGTAGGAGACGATGGTCGATCATTGGCCGGCGATTGAGAGGAGGATGGCGAAGGACCGGGTGACGTTGGAGAGGGTCTGGTCGAAGTAGAGGACGACGGTGGAAGACCACCACTAGGAGAGGGAGGGGGAGGAGATTGAGAGGAGGAGGAGGGGAGGAAATTGAGAAGAGATTGAGAGGATGAGGGGAGGAGGAGGGGGAGGAGGTTCAACCAGATTGAGAGGAGGAGGATGGGAGAAGATTGAGAGGTGGAGGAGAAAACCACAGAGAAGAAGAAGAAGAAGAAGAAGAAGAAAATAAGGGAGGGGTATTTTTGGAATATTTTGGGATGTATTCATGGGAGAGTGTGAAAAGGGGGCTAAACACATATTTTAGGATTTTAAGGGTTAAAGAGTAAGGAAAAAAGATGGGTGGGCGCACATCACCTTTATTTCTTTGGGACCTAGACACAATTTTCCCAAAATATTATCACGTTATTCTTTTGTTAAATATTTGACTGTAGGCTTACAAAATGATCACATTGGACATGGGGAAAATAAATAAATTGATACTTTAAAGGGGGTGTTTGTTTCAAATCCTATAATTTTAGGATATGGATTTCGCCATGGGATTTGAAATCCATATGTTTTTTAACATGAGTTGAGATTTCTAAAATGTTGTTTGTTTCATCAATATTTTGTGATATGTAATCTTATAATTTGTATTTTGTTTGTTTCAAACTCAAATTATAGCATTACAAATTTTAGAATTTAAAATCTAACCTAAATCCTCACTTAAAGAGGAAATTTCACAAATGCTATAATATATTAATTTTTATTATTTGGGCAATATCCCCAAAAAAAATTCAATCAAACAATGGTTATAGAATCCATAAACTCAAAAAAAAATTACTTTTTCATCCTAAAATTTGTAATCCACCCTATATCTAAAAAAAAGTTGAAACAAACACCCCCTAAGAAGCGGTTTGTGAGCTCATCGATACTGATCATTTTGTCGATCTTCCCCTCTTAGTCCGACCCCACACTTTTATTCCTCCAAAATCTTGGATCTTGTGCAATTAGGTTGGGTCAGCTCACCGAACGTGCTAGGACTCTACAAGTGATTGAAGCGGATGAGTAAACGCGGGCGGTGAGGACTCAGTGCAGGAGATTGAGTGAAGAGGGGGCTTTGGTCTTTGTCTGCACAGAATTAATTTGGGGTTGGCTGACTAAATATCTCCTCCACTGAGATTGGAACGAGCTCGCATTGGTTGAATGTGGCCCCAAAATCCTCAGGATACCGAAGTTGCAAACTTGCACTGCAATAGGCCGCTCTTTCTTTTGCAGAAGAGAGTGTACGTCTTTTGAGAATGCAAGGTCGCCTTGGCAAAGTACAAAACTATCATAACACTTTTCATAAAGTGTCACTTATCTATGGTTACCGGAAAAAAGATGAGTAGGCCGTGTCAAATGAGCTTTCCACTTAACTCTAAACTTTAGAGTTCTGATATAGCATCACGGTTTTTTAAAATCGTATCAAAACAACTTAGGTTGATCTTTGACATGATATCACAGCAATTCATATTTAACTTTCACCAACCACGAATATCAATCACGTTTAAAAAATATACATAAATACAAAAATATAAACAAGCTCATGATATCTAAAACCAAAATATCAAATTGGGAAATTCAAAATAGGCCCGGGTTTTCTTAAAACTCTTAAGAATCATAAGCGCACGACGAAATCCATCAATCCAACACATGGATTCATGGTTTTTATATTAAAATGATTTAATATAGCAAATTCAGGTCGGGACTCCAAAGCAGTGGATTTGTCATCTGATCTGAATATGGAAACATAATTTTGTTGTGTTTTTCTAGATACCAGTCTTTTAAATCTTCGATAATGTCATATTAGTCCCTCGTATCTTTGAAATCACGCATTATGTCTTACAAGTTGGTCCGTTGGATTAACTCACGTGAGATATAAGAGAGGACGGGTTCCTCGTTACCCTCACGTTATAAGTTTCCCAACCCACTTCTTAACGGGTATATACCCGACATGTGGCTAAAAAAAAAAAACCAAACCTACCGAGGTCAACGGGTCGTAGTAATCACCCTAACACATTTTTGAACCTCCCAGAGGTCACTACTCCCTCTGGAAACTGTATGATCCGCTAGCCTAGAGGCAATTTGGTAATCGAAGGATGTCGCGTTAGGAGTCAACCCAATCATGATAGGAATTTTAACTGAAGAACCAACAGAGGGACCAACTTGCAAGACCTCGTAGGATTTGAGGGGCCAATAAGCAGTTTGAAAGATTCGAGGGACCAATATGAAGTTGTCGAAGATTAGACGGACTAACACTACCTGAACACCCAATTTTGTTAATGAAACTGCGGGAAGTAGGGCTGACGTGTAAAATCAACCTTTAAACGAGTTGAAAGAATCTGCGAAAGCCTGTGAACGGCTTTCGGGGCACCACCCAACTTGTACCAAAAGTCCAGTCGCGAAAGGGCAAAAGGGCAAATAAAGGCCTGAACTCTTTTTTTTTTTTTTTTTAACGCGAGACGCTGATTAGCTATTTTTATGGTATTTACTTGCTTTTGTTTGTCTTCGGTAAGCACTAGTGGTCTCATGTGCATGCACTGCACTTGGACCGCCCATTAATGGATTGGTTGGTGAGAGACAGTACAATTTCCCTGTTTTCCTCTCTTTTGTTTTCTTTTTCCCATTTAAGCTCAATCAATAATCATATGTTCGCCACTCATAGAGATGCACTATCAGTGAAAAAGAAAAGTTTCAGGGTGGTATGTTTTGTTTTTGTTTTTTTACTGCTAGCTATAAGTGCAAA